GAGGGAGGAAGAAAAATCATGAAGCTGAAAATACTTTTTATCTTATACAACTTCCCTGATGCACAAGTGTCCGTGATAATACCTGGATCGTAGACCAGTCTTCCCACACAGTGAAACAGATGTTTTCATCCCACGTTCAGAGCTTCCCAGCACCAATGAATTCCTCACAAGAGGTTATTTCTAGTTTCATTGTACCTTCAAACCCTGCTTGCTGTAGGATTTCAGAAGTAATGTTTTATTGCTTAAGAGAACAACAGTATTGAGGAATTATTTTTCTTACTGAACAGATTTTTATTTTTAGGAAATGAGTCAACTATTTTGGAACCTAATGACAAATATGTAACAGAGACACATATATAAATATGAGGGGGTTGTGCAACTTGTTGTCTTTGAACTATTCCAGGATTCACGGAGTTAAAGACAGTGCAGTACTGTGCATCACTTAGAATATTAATTTTCCACTAAGGATTTCACCTCGACCTCTGTTCCAGGTGTCATGGTACCATCCCTTGGAGGAGCCAACTGCACTATCATCGTGATTTATTTTAACATGCATTTTCCTTTATATTTTGTGAAAGGTTAAGGCTCCCAAATATACCTTCCAGAGAATTCATGATGTTGGGAGAAAGAAGAAATCCTGCAACACTTACCACCAAACACATCTCCGTTCTGATAGTTTTTCCCCTTCTGAGTTTCCTCTTCGTTTTGAACAGTAGAAACATGCTTGGCGGAGGCACAGCCCATAGCTTCATTCAGACAGCTCCAGCTGGACCAAACCACAAATCATGTCTAGAGACGCACGCTCATTGTTTGAAAAATAATCCACCTTCCCGTGTGGTTGTCAAGACACTTTTACCTACAGATGGCAAAAGAGAAAGCAAAATACTGACAAAAGGTAACCTCTAAATGTAGAGCTTTAAGAAGACAAGCAATGGGGTTTGTGAAGAGAAGTACCAGAGCACAGGCTGTCTCCATCGTCATAGGTTGTTAAAACCGTATTCAATAAACATCTGATATAGGCAGATCATGACATAGGTAGGTCAATCCTGCCTTGGGAGAGGAACTCAAAGTCTCCCCCAGCCCTATTCTTTAATCTGTGGCTTGAAGAAAGCAACACACGCACAGATATGTTTCCCATGCAACACAGCAATATCTTCTCCTCCTGTTTTTTACTGATCCACCCATCAAGCCAGATTTCTTACAAAGTGTTTTAGTGATTAAGAGCTGCTAATTGCAAGTGTTCAGACAAAATACCCCCCAAATCAATTAAAGATCTTATGTTAATAGATGTGAAAGGCGATACCCAGCTGTATTATCTTTTTTCTATATGATCATGACTCTACTGGATCCATAAAATCTGCAGCACTCAGAAAGGCAACTATCCCCATTTTGAGATGGAATAACACTCCCTAAACAAACCAGATGTCACAAAACAAAAGGGGGAAGAAAAAGCTAGTTTATAGCCACAGTATTTTATATTTAAAAAAATAATTAAACTCGCAAACTGTTCATTGACTGAATGGTTCCACACTCAAACAAAGCCAACTTCAAAGTTGGGTGAGATGACCTGGCTTGCCTTTCCACCAGCCAAACTTTTTGGAAGAGGAGAAGAGCTAGAGGAAAATGAGAATCACCCCTTTTAGCCGAGTTGCTTAGTTCAGCTATAGGCTAAGATCATACACATAATTTCTTAACTCATTACTTCTGGGTATTTTACTTCATGCCCACCACAAGAATTTTATCTACCACAGCAGAAGGGCGCTCTTACCTAGGATACAGCAGCATCCATCCCACCAAAAATGTATGACCCCAAAGAAAATGTTTTGAGTTTTATTTCCCTGTGCGCTCAGCACAAACAGCACGCCTGCCCGTGCCAAGGCGGCACTGTAACACAGCAGGACATGGTTTCTGGGGCCTCCCCAGAGGAATTTCCCCGCCCATCCCCAAAGTCACAGAAACGAGGAAGTGGCCAGCCAGGCCAAGAGTGATTCTGCTCATGCCATTGCAGCCGCAGGTTCCCTGATGGGCAGCTTTTACCATGCAAGGGGAAGGACCCTAGATGCAGAACCACTTCTACTCACAGATCAGCTTCCACCTTCCACTCCATCTTGCTCTGCACAGAAAAGTGCCTTTCTCCATTTAACAAGGGCATTTCGCTCAAAGCGTACAACGTATATATGCTCAATCCCTGTTCTAAACAGCTAACCCTCCTAAGACACACCTCTACCTGCATTTTTCTTTCTTTACGTTCAGTATGTTCCCCAACATGCTTTCTCCTTTTTTCCTTCCTCCTAGACATACACGCTTAAATAGATTTCTAATTACCCCATCCCTTTCTTATCCCTTGTCACAGCTAGCTACTCACCCCAGACCACAGCATTTTAAACCAGGCATTCATGCTGTTAGTGGAAGGGAGCGAGCAGATCCCCCTTGAGCTATTTTTTTAACCCTATACGGTTACATACATATTTTTAAAAAGAAAACCTAGGTTTTGCAGCAAAAGTCAGTATTGAGCTAGGAAAACTTTCTGCTTCTCAAGCAATCTCCAAGGCTATTTTCCAAACCGTTTAAATCCCTCTGCTTGTCAGATGTATAGACAAAGCTATAGCCCCGCTAAGAAACAAATCGCTTTCAGGATCCCTCTGTGCACATCCAAGCAGTCAATAATCAGAGCAGGCCACCCTAATTACACTGCCATGCGTCGTAAATACCGATACACTCATTTTATGTAAACTGTATTAGTTGCTCTCAAGTTTTTGCAATGCAGTGAGGGTCACAAGCTGACAATTTGTCCTCACGCGTGTCCAAACAGCATGACAGCCTGCATTAAGATAACTCACATCTCACTGTTGGGGTGGGAAATAAGGATCCGTAAGGATTTCCAGCATCAGCCATGCTGTGCCTGCTCAGGAGGTACAGAAAGACACACAAAGGTGTGGGAGATGGGAGGAGAAATAGCAGACTGAGAAGGAGAACTGCTAACTGGACTGGAAATGAAATGTGGACTAATTTTCTTAGAGGATGCAAATTTGCTTAAAGATAATAGCTTTTAGTACACCAATTGAAACAAAGGGGGTGGGGGGGATGGAGAAGCAATCAATTTTTTTGCCACAGTTTCAGATTTCAAAGAAAAGCTGGAGCCTCAAGGTAAGCAGAGCCTGAAAACAGAAACTTTGATTTCTGATTTAAAATATAACCAGTTATATTATCCAAGGGAAAAGGACGTGGCCAGCTATGGGGCAAAGAGCAAGGAGAGACCCAGTGTAACCCCACAAAAGGCACAGAGGCGTGTATGTGGGACCGCTAACAGGGTGCACATAGGGGAAATCACTGCACACTACAAACCCGTCATCCCTGTCTCAGAGCAGCTGAGCTGTGCTCACAGAAGTACCTGTTGAATGAATTATGCTGTTGCCTTATTCAACTATTTTTCCTCTTTCTTTTTTTTCCCTTCTGTCTCTCTGCAGGGACCACTTACAAAAGGGAAACAGCTGCTTAGTAATAAAACCCAGATGTATTTCCTAACATAGCAGTGGGTTGGTTTTTGGGAGGGGATTTTTTGTGAAGCCTTATACACAGACAACATGCAGCAAAACACATTGCAAAATACTTCGTCATTGATTAGTACCCAGGAGGGTGATGGTTGCGCCACCCAGGACCTGTGAGCTGTAGAAGCAATCGGGAGCAAAGAGACGCAGAACATGAATGCAGAAGGATAAAGCTCTTTGGGGGAGGGAAGGAAAAAATATCCACAGTCAAATATCTCCTGCAGTATCTTGGTAGCACATGCCCACCTTGCTAAAAATATAGTCACATTCGAAGGCACGCTGTGATTAAAGGAAGTAAATGGGAATACAAGAACTGGAAGTTTCACCTTTTACATTAAAGAACAGCAATCACAGCAGTGTCTGAAAAAACTACACAACTAATACTTGGATTATGGAGGCAATTTCTCCTTGTGCCAATAAACTAGCCCGAGAAAGCTACTCCAAAATTACCTCCAAGGCAAGTTCAACACACATTTCCAGGTACATTTCTCAGACTACTGTAAACATAGTACAGCAAGACAGATGACACTGCGATATGGATAACACAACCCAGAATTAGCGGAGGATTTAAAATAAAACAAAACAAAACCCCCAACAACAACAACAACAAAAAAGAGCGTGAGAGAAAAGCGGCGTTAATTTTACAAGAGATGAAATCTGAGATACGCGACACTGTGATGCCCTCCAGCCTTACACCACCCCAAGCCTCGGGGAAACCTCTTTTGCCCAAGTACTGAAGCCCACAATGATGAGGTTCGGGTATCGCTCAGAAATGAGGTGCTGGTCCTCATTGAGTGGGATACCTGCAGAGGGTTTTGAGGATGTGAAACTCAGTACTTCAAATGGCAGCAGAATAACACATCTGTTCCGCCTCTTCCCCCACTTTTGCACAAATATAATTTTCCCTTTTGTCTTCCTGAGCATTTTGGGGGCATACGGATTTTTAGAAGCCAAAAATAAAAAGAGTAAGAAAACCTCAAACCATTTGCAGTTCATATTCACCACCCACCATCATTAATTATCAAGATTTGAGAGGCAATTTACAAGCTCCAATCTGCAAAACGCTAGTGAGAAAAATCTCTCAGGCAGATCAAAAGTGTCTACACCACCCTCAAATTAAATGCAGCAGGTTTAAGATTAACATCTTATGTGCGGGTCAAGAGAAGACTACAGACACTCTCAGATGCTGTACTTCATACCCCAAATTTCTTCTGAGCTAAAAACAGGGGAGCTCAATGTTTAAAATAGAAATTGCCTTTGGAAATCTTAAACAATTCTTTTTTTTTTTTTTTTTTTTTTTTGATGCATGTATGTGTTGTGCTTTTGCTTTTACCAGCTCTTTCAACACTTCATTAATCCACTTGTCACCCTCTCACCTCTCATTTCTGACAGTCATGTCTAAGGCGGCATCCTTGACAAAACGCATTTTGCTTCCACAGCTGAAAACCAAACACTTAACAGCAAATGGAGGATCTCCAGTGTTTTACAACGAATGTATGTTAATTCTTCTATCACCACAGGTGTATTTGTTTTCATCTTTATTGCACTGAGATAACCAATTTTTCATCTTCTTCAGGCTGCAGATACACCTGAAAGTTTCCTTCCGTGTTGACCACACAGGAAACCAGGTTAAAATTTCACAAAGCTCAAGAGATCAAAGCAACAAGCTTCATGCAACCATGAAAAAACCCTAAGCTACAAATGAAAACGACACTGGCTTTTCCTATAATACAACGTAGTCCAGGCAGAACCCAAGGATTTAACCTAGTGCTATTAATTATACTTATTTCCTATAAGAAATAGGCCTATTTGATTTCCATTTGATTCTTTTTCCCCCCAGAAGAAGAAAGCAGCAATGTCTTCCAAATTTGCCCTCCACAAGGGTTGATGGAAGTTAGCACGTGGGAGTCCCCCACTGTGATATCCCTCTTCCTCAGCTACCCTCCGCCACCTCTGCCAGAAAATGACTTTTGGGGTTTTTTTTCAACTGCCAAAAGGCATTTTTGAGGCAAAATGATGGAGCTTTTGCCTTTGAAGTGTACCAATGGCCTAAGGAGGGGAGGAAAATATTTTTAAAAATTTCTATCATATAAGCTCTCTTTCTCCTTCTTCAAATTATTCAAACCAGCATTACTGGTGACTAGCATAGTTATATCAAAAATTAACCCACTGACTTGCTAAATGAATAGGGCAAGG